AGAGCCACCTTCTTTGTTCATTCTAGTTTCATTTAATGAAAGCACAGCCTGTTCCCCAGTGTGGATGTTGTCAGGGAGCATTCACAGGCCAGTGCTGACAATGATACACCAAGCCCATGAAGCTTCTTGCAAGGAAACAGGGAGCCATTTAGGGTTCTCCACTGGTTCATTAAGTTTCTTCATCTCCAACAGATATTCCTCAACTAGAAAAGTTTTAATATGACTCATGGCTGTTGCAGTGAAGGATGCAGTAAGAGATTTGGACAGCTGCTCTCTAAACAACACAATTACTTGAACTGAGACACTTCAAAGAACATTAACCAGCCTCTGGCTCTCAATCAGTGTGGTCACTGTCCCACTTTGATGTACTGATTATCCAGCGTGTGAATGTTTACAGTAAGGCAAGTCTTATACCAGCTGGGTAGGGTAGAGGTAAACTGTGCCTCCAGAAACAGTGAAAGATCACCACTTTTCTCCAAGAAAGCTGCAGTTTCTGGCTTTGAAATGCTTGAAATTCCTGTAGCTAACAAGCGTGTGACTTTATCATATACATCTGTTCATGACTGACAGCAAGAGCAACCTATTTCTTTGGCTGAAATAGGCCAAACCTATTTCTTCATGACTGAACTCCTGCACACCACAGAAATAACTTATTTGACATAAAATATCATCCAAGAAGATCTGAAGGAGCAGCAGATGCCTTGCCTAGTGCAGACCTCCATGCAGAAGCACTGGTGAGAATGCACAGTGCAGGAGCAAAGAATCTGATACTAAATGCCTACAGCCAATGACTTCTACCACAGTAAGACCTTCTGTCCGCTCAGGAAGCGGATACCCATATCACCAGAGCTTTTCTGTGGAAGTCACCAGAGGGGTTGGTACCACCCGTGTCTTTTTATCTTGGATTTGGTGGGGAGAAGAGGAAGAAGGACCTTAGTCCAGAAGAATTAAAATTTTACACTGGCTGAAATCCTCTTCCTCTTCTTCAAAGAAATGCAAGCAACTCAAGGCTTTTATGTCTGGAGGTGATCTGCCGCTTTCTCTAATGAGAAGTCAGGTTGTGTTGGCCAAAGTGTTCAACTACTGTTGTGTGTGAAGGAGAACAAGAACTGAAAAGGAATTACAAATTGACAATGAGTCATGTTATGACTTCTTATCTTTCTCTCATGAGAGAAAGAAGGACAAGTTTCCCTTTTAGCTTTTCTAGTTCACTGGGGTAAAGGGAAACCATGTTTTACTTTTAGCAGCTCTTGTTCTTCCATGTGCTTCTGGACCTAAGGGCACATAGAGTTGTGCTGCTGGGAAGGCTGGTACATCTGACAAGCCAAACTGAACTGTCAGTGTGAGCCCAGAGAATTTTCTTTCATTTCTCTTGCTATGCTTGTGAATTCTCTAGGATCAGGAAAAAAAAAAATAGATTCAAGGACACTGGAGACAGTTTTTCCTAAGAGGATTTCTTGAGCAATCTAAGTGGTTGAGGATCTTTTCTCAAACAAATTTTGGATCAATGGGGTGTCTTCTCATGTACAAATTGAACTAAAGGATTTTCTTTCCTTTATGCATGCTTCTTTCTAAAGCCAGTCTAACAACTAACTAGTGAGGACTATTGTCCCTGGACACCAGCTCAAGCTCTGATAGCTTTTGTAAGAGCATTTGTATCAAAATATTGTTGTGCTGGATTCCCCACGGCCATCTGGGGCTTTGTGCAGACAGGGTGCTTACAAATGAATGTGAACCAAAGCAAATCAACATTGCTTGGCAGGGATGAAATATATTGCTAGGGTCTGTCTCTGCCAAGCTAGACTATTTGGCTCCAGTCCCACTCTTCAGGGGGATTGTCTGTCAAAACACAAGTTGGTATTATACAGCGTCATGGTTACTTGGCTCTCTAGCTCTAGTCCTTTAACCCCTCTCAGGCCTTATCCTTCTGTTATTTGTTGAGTGAAAACCTGTGAACCTCCAATTCTTAAAGCAGATCTTGAGCTCTGGTACCTTGCACCAATCGTCCCTCATGTCACTGTGTCATTTCAGGTAGAGCTTTCTCTTAGGAGAGAGCTAGAAGGCTGCAAACCTTTTGAAAGGAAGGCGTTGTTTCTTAATGCCATGAAATGTTAAGACATATATTTTGTACCATCTCATGATGGAAGCCTGAATTCTTGGTCTAACCACCTCAAACAGCTGGTCATCCTTTCAAGGTGGAAGTCCATTTTGGACACTTTATTATCTCTCCTTTTTTATCCCATTCCTTCATGGGCAGCACCTGTTGTTTCTGCTGAGCCCTGCTGCTTAGCCCAGAAGCCACCCATTAGAGGACAAGACAAGCCATCAGTGTGAATGTCCTCATGGGTTTGCCAAGAGTTCTACCATAAATGCATTTCTGGACATGTTTCTGAATTCATTCAACATATGTATGGACATAATAAATTACCACAGTAGCTTGACCAAGACATGACGTTACAGGTGGCTCCAAGCCCATAACGCACATTTTTCGCTTTAGTGAAAATCCACTGTAAGCACTGGTAGAAATGCTGTCTCTGAGCACAGATTCTGCAGGGCCTTGTCCCATTCTGCAAGTCCAGAGAGGGACAGCAGGAGGAGGACGTGCATATTCCCTCCGGGAGGCAGATGAAGTGGCAGATCCTCAGCTGAGACCCCGCTGAGTCTGGAGATGACTGAGCAGAGTGGTGACTCTGCATAGGTGTGACACACAGCACGTGCTGTCCCTCAGGCAGGCAGCTGCCCACACCACTGCCCAGGCTGTCACGTCGCCCAGCAGCCTGGCGTGCAGCTGCAGCCTCATCCCCTGTGGGCAGGGCAGTAGCAGCCTTGCACAGGCTGGGACGCCCTGGGAACACAGACCGATTGCCCGGGTCACGCAGCCTTGTGGCCTTCCCTTGCATGGCAGGATTTGTGTGTTTTCCTTCAGAGTGCAGGCTAGAGCATGCCAGTACCGCCTGGCTCTCCCAGGCAATGTCTGCTCAAGGGACGGGGACCTGTTATCTTCCCAGCAGACTGTGGAACACAGTCCAGATGTCCTTCTGGGCATGGAACTGTACGGATGGCCCCAGGGCTCAGCTGCCTCTGACACGAGGTGCAGCACGGTTGTGTGACCCTCGGTTGGTTTTGCTGAGAAAATTGCTGCTGCACTGTGAGAAAATATGTGAACTAAAGCCAAGCAAGATAAGAAAAGTCAAAACATAGAATTAAAGTTGTCGAGTCGATGATAGCTAGCAATGCAAGGCTTCAAAAATAAATGCTATGTGAAGAGGGATAAAGCCCTGAGGGGCTAGGTCCCTATGTTGCTCTAAAGATCCTTGGGCCAGAGCTTAGAAATGCTCCTAGTCCTCATCTCAGGTGTAACTCTTATGTGAGGGTATGACCCAAGTGCTGGGTTCCAAGACGGGAGTAGAAAAAAAAAGAAAGGGAAGAAAAAGCTTGGCTGGGTGAGTCACAGAGAGGGAGATGTCCATGCAGAATGAATTTAGTTCACCGGTAGAGAGGAAGTGTGAGGAATTTTACTGAGGAGATTAACTACAAGCAAAGGCAGCTGAAGGGCCTGAGCAGTTCTGCTCCGCTGCAGGCTCACACTCCATCCTCTTCCACAAGTCTGGAATGACTCCCTCCTACAGAAAATCCCAGTGCCCCTTCCTTTGGCAGGGTATCTTCTTTTTGGAGCTGTCAGCCTCATGGGAGAAAGGCAAGGACAGCACCTCTGCAGCCATACCCTGGGAGCAGTGACCTGCAGGCAGCAGCTCTGGCTTATGGGCACCAGCACACAGTACAGCACTGTGCAAAAGGCAAGCCAGGACATGAGGGGGTTTGCACAGGGGTGAGTAAATGTTTGGGGCAAAGGGGGCTGAAAGCCATCTTGCTGAGATTGCATCAGCCTGGTGTTTGCTTAGAGGCAACTGGACATGCTGGATGTGCAACTGGGAGCTTTGGAAGAAGCAAACAGAAGTTCAGACATCCACAATGGGGTGGTGGCCAGCTATCGCAGCCTTCCCCAGGTGTAAACATCTGCAAAAGGCACTTCCTACTGTGTGTGAGACAACATTATGAATACTATGAAATTCTTTAATTTGGGAAAATAAAACGTTTAGTGAGATAATATGCAATTATGGTGTACCACAGGTGCTGGCATTGCATTAGAGGTATAGTTAGGTTCCTGTGAGGGAGAAGATCCTCATGGTGACTTGTGACTTAAATGTGAACGGTTTTTTTCATTTTTAATATGAAATTGGGCACCATCCAGCATTTAGTATCTAATATTAATATCGGGAACTGGATTAGTCCCAACGCAGCACAGAGGAAGCAGAGAGGATAGGGTCCTTTGCAGGGACTCGTGTCCTTGTGTAGGTGAGCTTGCTCAGCTGGTGCTCTGCGGCACCGCCGTACCATTGAAACACTGGACCTCAACTCACAAACGGCACTTCCCAACTGGAGAGATGCTTTGCCTTAATCTCAGCCTGAGTTTCTACTACAAGCCACTGCCGGAGACAGGAGAAGAAAGCGCACCTTCACGTGGCTGGAGATGTGATGCTCTCTCTTAAAGAAAGCAGCCCCTCTCTGAGAGACCTCCGCCAGCCGCAGCCCCGAAGCGGAGCTGTGTGTCTGCCGAGCGGGCTCCGCTCTGTGCCGGCAGCGCTGGGAGCGGGGCCGGGCTCCACGGCCCCTCGTCGCCGGGGCCACGGGCAGTGTGCCCTCGCTCGCCTTCCTCGGGTGTGTCAGCCCAGTGTCCCGAGAGCCTCCAGTTGCTTTTGCGCCTGTGTTTTCCCCATCCTTGCGAAGCATTCTTTTTTTTTTTTTTTTCCTGCAGCTGGGAAATACCGAGCTCTTCGCTCAGCTCGAGGTTAATCATCTGCTTGCAATTAACCTGTGACCTCCCACGCCCGCGGCGCCGGGCAGCGCTGTAGCTTTAACGCGGGCGCTGGAAGCGGGACAGGGACAGCAGTGCCAGGTCCGGCCCCGGAGCTGCCGCAGATCCCTCTCTGCTGCCTGCCATGGGGAACCACAGCCTCCTCGCCGCCTTCCTGGCCGCTGCCCTCGCCGCCCTCCTGCCGCTTCCCGCCGCCCCCTCGGCCCACCGCAAGCTCCTGGTATTCCTGCTCGACGGCTTTCGCTTCGACTACATCGATGACAGCGAGCTGGAGGGTCTGCCGGGCTTTCGGGACATTGTGAAGATGGGGGTGAAGGTGGATTACATGACCCCAGACTTCCCCAGCCTCTCCTACCCAAATTACTACACGCTGATGACAGGTGAGTACTTGCATTTCTGTGCTGCGATGCTCCTCGGAGCTGCTAGCTCCCTGTGCCGAAGTGGAGGGAAGCTCCCTTTGACATTTTCCTCCAAAGAAGATACAAAAATGACAAAAGTCGTGCTTTTGACTGGGAGATTAAAAGCACTGTGGCATTACAGCCCAGTATTGCTTTTCTGAAACCTGCCCCAAACTTGGAAATGCGTCTTGGACCTGATTTTTGAAGTTCCCCTCTGCTAATCCACTGTGTTGCTGGGTCCCTACCTGCTGCCACTGCATTTATATAGCACATAAAAATAAGTGGGAAATGCATGGAAATGAATACAGAGCCAGCTCAGGGACTTTCCACTTAATAAAAATGTATAAACTCAGTGTGCCTACAATAAGAACTGAGTTTCAGCCAGCACATCTGTTTTGGGAAGTTCAGCATTACATTTCTGTTTAAACTTAGCAGAGATTGTTTTCACAGGTCCCTGTCTTAACTTTTCCCTAAGTCGTCATATCTGTAATAAGCTGAAATACCCAAATAGAAAAACATTAAGAATTTCTGCTTTTGCTCCCTGCAGTTTTTCTGGATGCCCAGGGGGGGCTTTCAGAAAATTGAGAGCACGGTTATAGTTTTTATGATGCTGATTTTCTTTTAAGTGGAGAACACATGATTACATGATTACAGTGACACAAGGAAGCTGCACAGAGAACAGATATCAGAGACAGACACCCAGGAAACAACAGTTAAGTGAAAAAATAAAACCAATTTTTTTTCTGGAGTTTCTGATTGGATTCTACTCTGGAGTTATTTAACAAACAAGAGCTTCTACCTAATAAGGAGGAGTGAGAAAATCTATCCTTTCTTAAGATATGTGGCATCTTCCACTATCCTTGGAACAATGCAATGCCCAGTGATCCATATACTGCTTGCTGGGAAAGCAAATAGATGCCATTGTAAGACAAGATATCTGACATCAGTTGTGCCCAGCTAGTTTTAAAGATGCTTAACCCATTCCTCCCCTTCTCTCAAGAGGAACACCTTTCTCTTGTTCATCTCTGAAAAGAGTGCAAAACCACCACAATTTTTTTGTGTGTGTTTTTTTGTTTTGTTTGTTTGTTTGTTTGTTTTTGTTTGTTTTGTTTTGTTTGGTTGGTTTTTTATTTGTTTGTTTTTTAATGACTTGGTGCAAACGTATGAATGCAGAATAAATGTTGTAACCGAAAATAGAGATGTTGTTCCACTCCAGACTGTGTTCTTTAGGCGTACATAGGCAAACCAGCCTAACACCTCATGGGTGCAAAAAGTCTTTGGATGGAGTTGTCAAAGAGGGAAAGTGAGTGACACATTTCACTCCTTACCACATTTGGTGTTCTCTCCTATTAAGTGCGTACGAATAGAGTGAAGTCTCTAATCAGCCTTTTGAGGAGCTTTGAAAACATCCTACTTTGTGCTCAAAAAGAGTTTTGTTTTAGGTGATGAAATTCCACTAGTAGACTTCACATTTTTAAGGTGCCAGAGTTCTACACCCCAGCCTGAAGCAATGAGATAATCTGTGAGACCAGCTTTAACTCTTCTTGCAAGTCTTCCAGACTTTATGATGACTGATATCAATGCAAATATAACTTAATTGCAAATAGCAATTCACCTTCCTAGCGTGTGAGCCACAGTAGTGTTAAATTGGTCAGGAAACAACAGAGGACAAAGTTTAGGTAATAAACATGCTGAAAGGAAGGTCCAAGAGTGCCCTTGAGGCCTCAGGGTGCTAGTGGACCCCACGGTTTTGTCCTGGTATGACAGCAGAGTAAGTCCCATGGCTGCACTGTCCTTACCCTTTGGGGCCGTGGTGGTGTCTCCACAGAAAGGAGAGGTTGGATTGGGAGTCTGTGACACGCAGCAGATGTAGCGTTAAGCTGTGTCCAGTCTGTGCACGTTCTATTTGCAAATTTGGGACAGCTTTTGGAGAAAATGCAGCATGACAGGCTGACACGAGCATCGCGCCGTAGTGACCTGCTTAGGGCCTGGCAAGCTGCCATCTCCCTGTTGCTGCTGTACGAGCCTGGGAAAGCTTGCCCTGCGTTGCACCAGCTATGCATCTCCTCTGCTGGGGAGAGACACAACTGTAACCGGTTTTTGTTTCTGTTCGCAACCGGGATGTCTATAAGTTGAATGCTGCCATAATTTCATCTGGGAAATCAGGGACAAACTATTTGTCATGTCTTGTCCTACATTGCTGCTTCATGAGCTGTTAAGAAATTCACATTACAACCTCCAAAATGTTGTACTTAACATTTGTGAATATGGCTTCAAAGTGTATTGGCTTCTTGCAGCTAAATCAGCTTAAGAAACTTCTGACCTCACCAGCACATTCCAACTCCTGGCTTTTTCATTATATCCCTTTTTTTTTTTTTCCAGTAAATACTCCTGTCCCTTTTTTCTCTACTCGTTTGCAAGGCCTTTAAATTAAGGAGCATACACAGCTGCCAGGTCTAGGACATTGCATGCATGAAAATGCTGCAGTTGGCATGTCTGTCTTGCCTTTATTCATTCTTGTGAACAAGGGCTCTCCTTTCTGCCCACTGCCCTTCACCCCACATCCATGCGACCTTCATGATGCTGGAACGGTTTATACTGAGGGAAGCTCTCCCTCATTCTGGTGGCTTTGAAGGAGGACAGTGGACTCTGCTCCTCACATACCATCACTGCTGGGACAGGCCAGTCTCCTCAAACGTGAACTCACCTCTTCCTCCTGCCCAGACCTGTAGGCAGAGGTTATGGATGACAGCAGCATCAGCAGCATCAGCCCCACTGCCTCTGAGTGCAGATGCCAAACTCTGCACTTCAGCCCTGCCAGAGCACAGCTTTCCTCTGGAACGGGCAGCTAGCAAGCAATAGCACGCAGCACAGCTGCCCAGTTATCTGCAGGATCTTCCAGTCATTATGTTTTACTTTACCAGGGATTTCAAGAGGGCAGCCTTACTGAATTTAATATTCATGGGAAATGGCAAGTGTACTGAGATTTTCAAAACTATAACCAAATAGATGCAGCTGTAACTGTTGACCAAGAGCCTCGTATCTAAAAGCAAATACCTAATGTATGCTAATGAGAAGCACACCCTGTTTTGCTGAGATGAGGTGCTTGGTGAAGCATCAATGCAGCTGGATGAGTAGCACCCAACCTGGGTAAACAACTAGGATAAATTTTGGAAGGGAAGCACGGGAGGGAGGTGACTTGCCTGTGATAATGCAGTGCTGCAGGGCCATGGCAGAGCTCTTCATGGGTCCCCCTCCTACTTATGACTGCTGCTGCTGTTAACCTATGAGAAGATACTTGCTGGAGCTTCCCCAAGTGACACAGAAAGCCTCAGCGCAAGGGCCTGTGTCTGAGGTCTTTTCCTTTTCTCCACACCTACAACAATTGTGAGGAAGAAAACCAGAGCACAGAATTAAGAAAAATGCTGATGGTTTACCTTCTTCATATAAAGTCACTCAGTGATTCTGAGCTTGAGACAAAGCTCCAGTCTTCCTGCAAGTCAGGTAATTGGCATCATAACCTGCTATCTGCTTGAAGAAGTACCAAACAAAAGCTAAGTTAGTGCTGGTGCAAAGGGATCTCCCTGACATTCAACCGGAGAAGTTGTTTTGTTACAATAATCTAGTGCAGTGTAAGGTAGCCCAGGGATGTGCTGGTTCAAAATCTGACTCTTTGAAAAGCAGTCTTCTCTAACAACTTCATTCATGCCGTGTTTCTCAGTCTTGGCTTCCACAATGGCATAAAGACTTGTTCTTGGGTGATTGGGTTGCTTTCTGAGCTGCTAGACTGAATCCTACCTGGTGTCCTAGTTCTACATGGTGCAGTTATGATATTGCAGTTGTTGACCTGCAAGACATAAAATGGAGAATGAGGCAAAAGGTGTTGCTGATGACATATGAGAGAGCTTTTGCAGGGCTCTTCATGGGCTTGGCAAGGGAGGGAAGAAAGAGTCCAAATATGTGTATCCCAGAAAGCTCCCTTAATAGCACCATGTGCTGTTTGTTTTGCAAAGGAAGGAATTAAGACCACAAGCCACCAGGGTTGTTACGCTGTGGAGACATTTTAATTTTTCTCTTTCCCTGCTGTGGCCTGGCGCTGCAGGGAGCTCTCACACCAAGCTCAGTGGAAAGTCTGAGGTCTCCCCTGCAGCAGCTGCAAGCATGAGTTATTGCTTCAGAGCCCTTCGTGCCATATCTGTCAAGCAAAACTGCTCACACTGAGGGTTTGGGTCTCTCTCACCTGCCAACCCGCAGGTGTTGGAGGGGTGCTGGAGGACTGCCTGTACTCCAGCTCTCCTGCAGTCCCCTCCAGCTCAGGGCACACAGGGAGGGCCCCCTCACAGTTCCAGCCAGCATAAACACAGGGAGACAGTATCATATCTGAGATGGAAACCCAGATGGGATTTATTTTCTAAGATCCTAACAAGAAATGAAGTTTTTCTGGCAGGTCCTTCATGGGGATGTGCCAGCTGCCTGGTCAGCTGTGTGGTTCCACATCCAAGAGTTGTATTTCACTTGGCCTCCATGAAAAGCAGAGGGAGCCCCTGACTGCAGAGGTGGGTGGGGAACTGCTTGGAAGAGGAGCAAGGAAGGGGCCTCCATATCCCTCTTTGGACAGAACCTGATCTTAAATAAGTGGCAGAGGGGCTGTGAGGTCCCATGAAGCTTGTGGGGTGGGGGAGGACGTTGAACAGAGGACATTTCAGTCTCCTGCACAAAAGTGAGGGCTGTGGCCTTTGCAGGGCTTGCTGTAACACAGTGATGACATGTTTGGGGCTTCTCTAAAATACAGGGGTGGTGGGTGGTGCTTTCTCAGTCACTGCCACTCATTCCTGCATCTGCCATCACCTCCTCCTCTGGGTGGCAGGAGGGAAAGGGTCAACATGGAAGAGGTCCCAGGGATGCATGACATCAAGGTCTGCTCTGCCAGACTGAAGGTTTCACCTGTCTTCCATGTTTCAGGTGTCCTCCCTCCACTCCTC